AACAAGTAGATTAATCACAATGGTCAATAATGGCTGCCTACCAAACAAGTAGATTAATCACAATGGTCAATAATGGCTGCCTACCAAACAAGTAGATTAATCACAATGGTCAATAATGGCTGCCTGCCAAACAAATAGATTAATCACAATGGTCAATAATGGCTGCCTGCCAAACAAGTAGATTAATCACAATGGTCAATAATGGCTGCCTACCAAACAAGTAGATTAATCATAATGGTCAATAATGAATTTTTTTCAAGATGGTTAGACTTAGACATATCAAAAACCGATTTACAGTAATCACCAGAGAAATAAGTATTAAAGCAAAGCATCCATAATTTATGAGAAACTAAGTTATTACAGAACTGTCAGTAACTTGCAAAGCAAACTGTGGCTCATACAACAGTAGTGATCCTTTGATTCTCATAGTTTTCACGAAATATTTGATTTATCTGTATGTATTCTCCAGTGGTAACTTTTCACTCGCAAACCATCAGAATATTTAGTTCGTCAAATTCACGATGACCAATATATTGTAAAATACGGAGTGATTAAAAAATCAAAACTAAACAGTCTAGAACAAATCCTGTAATACACTGGTAAATTATTTTGCGCACATGAAGATACATCACGGAAAGTGTATTCCACTGGTCTCTGGATATTAAAATTAGGCTGGCATATAACCCAGGATAAAACAAACAACTGTTACTGTGTCATTAGTAATGGAAAGCATAACACTAAGTAATTGAAAAAACTGATGGCGCTGTACTGTCGAAAATACTCTAATACCAAGAGCTGCAAAACCCTGGGCATACCGCAGGATTAACAAAATGTAAGCCCTCAACTGATGTTGCTGTCAACAGATTGATCAGAAAGTTTTCAGCAGCCTCTTCCATCATGTTTGTCCGCTATGGTCCCTTGACCTCATACGTGTTGACTGTTCTCTGATGATGCCATAATCTAGCAACTATATGTATGTATATGTTCCTCAAGTGAAGGATGCCACTGCTATACTATAGGAGCTGTTACGTGCTGCAGTATTCAATATCACTGTTGGAATGGCGGAAGTAAACAAAAATGATGTTTTTTTTTATAATTAAGCACAAAGCTATACAATAGGCTATCTGTGCTTTACTAACCACGGGTATCTAAACCCGGTTTTTAGCGGTATAAGTTCGCACACATATGAAAATGATGGTGGCAACATCGATTATTTGGAATAGTGGCGCCATTCAATACCATTTCCAGAAACTGGTGAGATTCACTTCCTTTATCACTTATGCATTTACACAAAAACTTTCCCCCACGTGTTAAAATGTTCACCTTACAGATCGCTCCAAACATCCATAATTACCTTATAACCACCCAATAGTTTCCAGAGTTCCCACACAGTTATGAAAATTGCGGTTTTTCACCTTAGACTATGTACATCTAATAACATTACGATGTGTTGAACCTTAGCTCTACAGCTTATATAGCACTTACCAAATCCTAGCTGCACAATACCGGTAAGAATTATAATAGCCAAGGCGAAAAGTTTCCCGTAGGTGAAAAGATCTTGGACACGAGTTGACCACTTCACGTCCCAGCAGTTCACAAACGTTAGAAGGCCTACAAATAAAAACAAATATCATGAGTGTAATGAGAGAGAAAATTTCACGGGAACACAACATATCGCTATGCAGAAATGTATAAAATAATAATAATTAATGATTAATTATTCGTAAACAGCGATCTTTCTTAACGTATTGTTTTTTTTTATTACTGTACAAGGGGTGGGGGTAATGGATTAGTGGAAGAAACACCCATGGAAAATTGATTAAGAAGCTTTATGAAAATATAATTATTTTTTCTGCAGAACGTTTTCATAAATCAAATTTTAATGAATTCAAAATTACAAGTTCATCAATGTAATATTGTTTGGTCCACTCACAAATGTTATTTTCACAATCGGAAAATTTAACGATTTCCACTGTCTTATCAATAATAACAACAGTGTAAACAACTGAAACCTGTGACTAGCAGTTTCGAGTTTTGTTAAATGACTTTATCGAAAACAAATGCTAATAAAACTTACATGAAGGGAAAATTTCAAATCTCATTTTGTCCCTGTAAAAAAAAACGAGTTATTGGTCTAGAAAGGGTGGCCAAAAATAAAATGAAACGTATCCACCTTTAAATCATAAGCTTGTCTTTTGATGTATGTTTTAAAGTAAAGGAACAAATTCTGTACATTTCAGGGGCTCAGCAAAAGTCAATTACATATTTTGCAAGAATGTCCAGTTCAACCAATCTATTTCGACAGTGCTTGAAAAACGTACAGAACACGGGAAAAGCAACAGGATTTATTTACTTGTTAACCATGCTGACAACTAATGCAGTATAAGACAGTATTTAACATCAGATACATTTCGTTAAATATCAAACCACACTGAAACACCCATTAATTTTTTATTTCCAAGGTAACACATTCCCATGTTTTTTTCTTAATAATGGCATACGTAAATCATAGATGTTTTTCATAATACTTAACATTTTCTACAACACAAAAATTTCGTGTCCCTAAACCATTACACAATAGAATATGCTGTCGGCTGTATCTTAATAGAGAAAAACAGCTGATCTTTACAATGGAAGATAAACTATGCACATTCATATGCAAATATTTTATGGTTTAATGGTTTGATAATAGCCCTGCAGTGTATTTTTAATCGCAAAAAACTTCGTCGTAAGCTGTCATGTCAAAAGCACACCTACATACTTTCCATAATTCATCTATTGTAGGTATAGTACGACGGTTTCTCAGAGTCCAATTCAATAGTCCGACTGGCAATCACACAGAAATCCATAGGCGCTCCGTCTGGCGACATCATTGGTATGTATTAGTATGGTATACAACGAATACTCGTTACATTCTTCAGCTGCTTTAGGTACACAACTTGTGTACACATAACTTTAGGCGCCTTTTTAGACATAGATCCTTCTTGATTATGTTGCGTACTGTTGCCTGGGGCACGTGGACAGCTTTTACCACTGAACTGTGTTTGTGGATTATAAGTTGTCACAAGACGCTCCACTTTGCAAACCACGGTTCAGGTACGACTTGTTGCAAGTCTCTTTCCGGATGTTCTTGGTTCCCCAAGTTGATCCACATTCCTTTGCTTTCCAGTTTTATTAAATACAAGGATATTTACGTCTTGGATAGCTAAATCTCCAATCTCAACACATTTATGATCTGAGTGAATGAAACTTTTGCGTCGGAAAGGGCTGTTACATACCCTTCCCAAAAATGACCAATTTTCGGTGGCATCACACTACCTACAAAACGCCAAACAATGGCAAAATGTAGTTTTGACCTATTTTGTTCCACTGCGACTTTATATTGGATATGGTTGTTACGTGATATGCTGATTTGCATATTCAAAATCGTGCAAAAAGCTACATAATAGGCTATACGTATTCTGCCCACCGCGGGTGTCAAAACCCGATTTTTAGCGTTATAAACTCTCAGGGGTGCTTAATGAGTAATCATACTAAACACATATTTATTAACGTTTTAATTTCTTCATTACTGTCATCGAAGTTAAAAATTGTTCTTCATCTTTGAAATTATTTTATCGGTCTTGGTCTGATCAAATGGTAATATGTAATATATATATATATATTTACGAAATTCGAACTTTATTAGATCTATATATAAAAAAGTGTCTCTAAAATCATTATTCTTCCACAGCAACGTATACAAATTTAATATAAAGATCTAATAAATACTGTTTGTCAAAAAAGTTTGGCACGTAATATGCCCTCACATCAGTTTTTGTTTGTTTCTCGTTATCTATGTATATATTTTTCTTATTAAATTTCGTGCCCCCCCCCCCCAGTGGCACAGCGGTATGTCTGCGGACTTACAACGCTAGAAACCGGGTTTCGATACCCGTGGTGGGCAGAGCACAAATAGCCCTTGTGTAGCTTTGTGCATAATTATAAACAAACAAAATTAAATTTCGCCTACAATACCTGCTGTAGTTATTATAGTATTAACAAGAAGGAATCCTCAATAGCCGCAGTACTTGAAATTCTTTTAGGTAGGATTAGAGTAAATTAATCTACGAGACCTTGGGCATGGTCAAATACATCAATCGAAAGGGATTGATCCCCGAGTCCAAAACTGTAATTAGATTTGAAATCGGTCAGAAGATGATGGAGCTATGAGCTAAAAGTTTGTACTTGAAAAACAAATAAAAAAATCTCAGAGCCGTTCTACGAGCCGCTATGCCGCGGCTAAAAACAAACCACAACAAATACAAGTTATACTCTGTTTAATGACTTATGAGAGTGTTTTCGTCTTCCAACCACTATACTGTAGATGTGAAGTGTGTGAATTGAAACTGCAGTACAGTGGTTTCCAGACTTTTTTCACTGAAGATACCCTAACTCATTTACCTTGATTTCCCTGCTGCAACATGCAGTATTTTTTTTGTAAAGATTTAATGTTCTTAATTATTATTCGTTTGGTGAAACTCTCGTGACACCCCCAACAACTTGCCACCACACAAAGTATGGAAGCCACTGCTACAGAAGATATCCTAATCGAATAACGTTTTCTTACCAGTAAAAGGACAAAAAATCCTTGTTACAACAAAGTACAAGCATGTTACGACTCTCTGAGATTTAACCAAAGCAATATGTATAGAAACGAACAAACCTGTATAGAACCATATTTTATCATACAGATACTTACAATTATGATTTTATCATCTTAAACCATCCAAACAGTGATAAAGAATCATTGTATACTGATACAAGAGATAATCTGACAGTATTTCAGACTTTTCAAAACAAACGAACTGTACAACCTTGTATGTATAAAACCAGACATCAACGTCATTCCCTGCTTGTCTATGTAGGGGGTTTGGATCCCTGACTGAATAATTTCCGATGCCATACATACACACACACATATCTTTTTTTCTTTTTCCCCCCACCCCCCCACCCCTGGGTTGCAGCACTACCTGTGCTATATGCATAAATTAGTCAATATCTGTGTTTTGGATATAAAACTAATTAAAATCTGTACGGACAACTGACATTACGGTCGAAATCAATACAATGGTTTTATGTGTTTTGTTGTAGAAGAAATTCCTATTTATTACATTGCATATGTAAATCATGTCTGCACCCATCAACTACTCGGTACTTCTTGGTAAAAACAAAAGACCGAGTTCATTTTCTTGGTATATACACAGTAGAGGTAGACAGGAAGTCAAAGTTACATATACTGTGCTTTCCGTTCAGCGAAAGTTTCAATGTGTGAAAAAACAAATGCTTCAAAAACTGCTATTTTCTTCAAAACAATAAACAAACCAATTTTATGCAATATTCTCAACTGTTTTCCCTGTTAAGTAAAAACTTTAAAATAGTGGAATAACATCTGCAAACTTATCTTGAAAGCTTTTTTATATATATCATTGCAAGTATATTTACTTGTTTTTCGTTCCCCTTTTATATGTTACAATTCTTAGCTCTAGGGAACAATGCTTCAAATTTGGTATTTTAATGTAAAATAAACAAGTATTTCACTATTACCTTACTAAGTTTCAAGATCTAAAGAAACTGAATCATTATATCCACACAAGAGAAATGATCACATGATTAAGAAATCAACATGTTCTGGGTTTTCAGAGGAAAAGCACTCACTACGCAGTTGTGTTCAAACATAGGTTTATTTATTTATTTTTTACCCGGAGTAAGTACCATTAACAAAACTATATCACTGGCTGTATCTTCAATTATACATATTTACACGAAATAATCACTTAGAAACATCAAAATTTAACTTTAATATACTTGCAGAATAATGCAGAAATTAATAGACTCAGAAAATATTTTATACTGCACATATCAAAATAATTGGATTGACTCGTTTGCATTTTATAATACACTTGTGATTTTAATCCTTCCAATATTTGTATATTCACATATTAAAGAACTGTATGCGATATTTCAGATTCGCCATGTAAAAACTGTTATCATGACGTAGGATATCGAACTTCAGGCACTTCTTTATGACAACGTGCACAATTTTTTGTAAATAAACAACTTTTAGCTTCACGACAAAACATATTTTTTAAAACTTAATTGAATAAAAGTTTTAAAAACCGTAGTTGATGATTTTTTCTGGAACTAGGGATGTCTTATTTTCAAATATATATATGTTAAGAGTTACTTATCCTAAAATGATAAAATAATAGGCAGTGTTATTTTCCCATATAACAAGAGGGAATGATTACAGTCGGAAAGTGTTACGATTACGATAAGCCAGTGATGTGCTAAGTAAATACACTTTAAGGGATGAGTAGGCAAATTTTTTATTGATATGCAAATACTGAAAAATTGAAGTGATCTGAAATATCATAAGTTACCACTGGGACAAGTTTCGGTGTGGAATTTAGTCGTGAGGATACTTTCTCAGGAAGGTGCACTTATAAGTATAAACATTGAAAAACGTCAAATAAAAGTTACCTAAGATTGATATACTGACCATTGTATTTGCATATTTCAATTTTTTTCTTATATTTGTTTTGTATCTACATTTATTAAAAAGCAACTTT